AACCATTTGGTGTGTTTTCAATAAACAATGCCTGGAATGAACCTTGCGTGCTCGCAGTTATTTTGGGTCGGTCTCCGTGAAATTGCTGGTGTGTGGGGGGTTCCCCTCCATGATACCTGGTGGGCCTCTGAGCAAAGTGTGGACAACATCTGCCCAGTTCAGGCCTAGCAATAGAAAGAGCCTCCTCAATATTTCCGTGCATCTCACCTGATATGCGTATTCCAGGGGTGCAGCATCTCAGGTGCATGGTCCAAATCCAGCCCAAATTGTGGGGGGGGGGGTGTCCAATGAGGGCCATGCCCCAATCTTGAGCTCTATCCTTGCCCCTGACTTCCACTGTTTGCTAGTTTCCTGCCATCTGTGTTGTTTGTCTCCTATTCTAAAAGGCTAAAATGTCCTTCCCAGGGCTGGGTGTGAGAGCCTGAAACGAAAATAGGCTGGCCTTTTTTTTTTTTTTTTTTTTTGGTGCTTTTTTCCCCACCCCTTCTGCCTTCAGCCCACCCACCCCTGGAATGAAGCCCCCCAAAGCTGCCTTGAAATGGAACTCAGCCCTTCGCTGCGTGAATGTCAATAGCTCTGCTCTGCTCTGACTGGCAGGTCTTTGGAGGCTCGAAACAGAGGCTTGCCCACCACCTGCTGCCTGATTCTTCTCCCAGGGCTGAACCAGGAACCTTTTGCATGCAAAGCAGGCCGGAGGGCCCAAAAGACTGTCCTCTGTTTGGAAGCATCCTCTGTTTGAAAGGCTGTCCAAGCCAAGTCCAGTTGGAAGAGAAAGAACCATCCAAAGAAAGAGCTGGGCCATGAAGTTGCCCATCCACCGCATGTCGGGAACCAACTGAACACAGCGAACGAGTCCTCGGATCACAGTCTCCCAATGGTGAGATGTCCTATATTTCTATTTCTGTGATGATTATTTCTAAACTTGCTTTTATATGTACATACTATTATATGCAAACTGTACACCAGTCACTGCCTTCGTTTTGGTGACGTACACATGGCATTGCTAAAGGCATGTCCTCCAGCCCCGAGTCATGATCTGGTTCTCCAAGGACTTGCTTCAGCTTGGCTGGGCAGCACTCATGGTTCCAATGTAGGGTCTTGCTTTTTTCCTGGAAAGAAGAGCCCTCCTGTTTCCCATGCCATGGAAGCCTCAGAGATAAACGGGGGATACTGCAGAGTGGGATCATCTTTGCTGAGTCCTACAAGCAGATTTCTGTCCTGCTTTTTAGATCTCCTCTTCCAGTCACTGCATCCCATTAGCTGCCCTGGTGGTCTCTTGCCTTGAACCTCAAACCTACTCCAGTTGCGGGTCCCTGCCGGCTTCATGGGAGATCGTTCAATCCATAGCTGTTCCAGACCTAATAGTACACCAAATGGCTGTGGGTGTGTTAGTGTATTGATTCCCTTGCCTGTACTTAATATCCTAAAATCTCTAGGCAGTTTGCATTAGCACTTAATTATGCAATACACTGCAAAGGGCATTTAATCAAATGCTGTGCAACGACAGGACCCATTTCCCTTTTCTTTCTAAAGATTCCCCAGGAAGAAATCCTACAGGAAGGGCTGCGGCTCGGGTAGACTGTAGCAGGTCTTCAGTGCCTGCCGTCTCCAGGAAAGCTGGGAAGAACTCCGGCCTAAAAACCTTGGGAGTTGCTGTTTTTATGCAGGCTTGTTCAATTTCGGTGACCTCCAGACTGGCTGGATGGCAATACCAGACTGGGAAAAGACAAATTAGTTGAGCCAATGATCTGACTCAGTCTGATTCATATAATGGGAACGACTTTACTAGAAGTGGTGTAGTGGAACCTGGGCTTGCAGGAATGCAACACTCGCACCTTTTTAGTAGCAGGAATCCTGACGTCATCTCCCACCCACTCCGTTTCCCCTGTTCCCTCTGAACATAGCGCCAGTTCCCATAGGAGCTGGAGGAAATGCATTTTCTCAACAACTCTATATTGTCCCCTGGTATCATACAAGTACTTAGGGATGGTGCAGGCTTGAATAGGCAATGAGGACCCATTTGCTTTGCAAAGGGTCTGCACCTGGTGAAGATGTACCTGTTTGGTTGGCGTAGATCAACAGGACTTCCTACAATTTTGGACATTCCTTGGGGGTGTGGCTGTGAGGACCATTTATTTATTTATTTATTTATTTATTTATTAAAACATTTTTATGCCGCCCCATTCGCCGAAGCCTCGGGGCGGCTTACAACAATAAATTAAAAGTAATTATAAATTACAATAAATATAAACATTAAATTAAAAATACAAAAATACAGTATAAAATAAGCCGCCCTGGCCAAATAAAATCCGATAATATTAACAGTTAAAATGCCGCTTGAATAAAAAGGTCTTCGCCTGGCGCCGAAAAACAAATAACGACGGCGCCAGGCGGACCTCTCTGGGGAGCACGTTCCATAACTTAAAGATGAACCAAGATGAATGCCCCCACGTTCTATCCCGAGGTCACTTTATTCACTCGTACATATGACTGTGAAATACCTGCTCTGGAAAGCTAGGTGCAGGGAAAAGGAACGTCTGTCCTTGTACAAACGGGAGTGTTTCTTACCGACTTTTATGATTTTTATGAGAAAAGAAGGGAAAGTGAAGTGCATGCTACAGGAGATTTCATTTTGGGCCTTGATAAATGTCCAGCTTTCTCCTGCAGTACAATTTTCTCTGTTTTACCTAGTTGCATTACAAGCCCGGCGGCACTCAATGCTGCCTTAACCCACAGAACTCGAACAAATGCTGTATTTTTACGTTTTGACCTTTTGCAGCTGTCAGAACCACTCCATTTAGAGGCTATCACAGTCCCAGCAAAGTGGAGAATGGCGCCCCAGTGGTCAAAGTTTAACGTGGGAACCACAACCATGAAATATCAGGTTCCTTCATCCATTTTCAATTTCAAAACAGCACTCTGCTTGGCTGGGCTCCAGACAGATTTATGGGAGCAGGTCTGCCTTATTTTGCTAAAAGAAAGCCTTGCGTTTAAGAATTACTTTGAGGCTACAGCTTCTCATTTGATGGTCATTTCTTTTTGTTTCCTTGTTTATTTCATTTTGATGGGATCCTTGTGTTTCTGCAGTCCCTTGCATGCTCTGCTGTTTGCACCTACAAAAGACAAGACACGGAATAGGGAATAAAGGGCGAGGGAAATAGAAGGTGAATCTGCTATATAGGTATTTATTAAGAAATTTGATCTGTCCTTTTGGGCATGAATAGGAGACACTGGCTTCTTGTCCAACTGTATTTAGGCTTCCACTAAATTGTCTCCTTGTTCTTTCTGCACCGAGACTTTTAATATAGCACTACCTGCCTAGTCCAGCTTCCTTCCTGTAGAAACACTCAAGGCCTCTCTACATTTCCAGTGTTGTTACTGGCTGCTGCCATGAAACGTGGCTGAAATGTGACACCCCTACTGACCTGCTGCATATTCCTTCATTCCCACTGTGTACGTTTTTCTTCTTGCACCTCCACAAACACACTTCTGCCTGATTTCACAGTGCACACCTCTGCCCCGTGCAGTTAACACTTCAGGCATCCAGCGGCTCATGGTGTACCGCAGCTCTCTTCTCCAAGGTTCGTCGAAACCCACCTAAAGCCACCCGAAGGAGAGCTGTTCTTTGCAGAAGTTGTTTATCAGCAAGGACAGCCTGGCAAGAAAACATGGCTTGTGCATTGCGGGGGGCCTTCCATGCACCTCCCTCACAGGGCAGGTTCCCCAGAGTGACAAGCTTCCATTCCCGAGAAGAGGAAGCTGAAACGGCTTGGAGCAGGCTGGCTTTTCGGCCTCCCCGTCCCGTCCCCGCTTCCTTTCCTCCAGCCCCTGCATCTCGCATCTCTTTGTCGCGTGTTGTCCTCTCGCTCTTCTCCTCCACCTGCTTCGTCCTCACAGCACATCATTTGAGCAAGGGGTGTTTGGATGCTTGCCCTGCAAGCCCCAATTCCAACAGCCCTTTTATAAGAGCTCATATCAGGGTAAGTTAAAGTGTGTCATGCTTGTGAAGATGTGTGTTGAATGTGTCCTTTCTTCTTCTTCTGATACTTCAGCAACTCAGAGGGCTTGTTTGAGCTTCACTTGCACCATTTCCACTTGTACCATTGGCCTAAACATCAGAGAAAGGTTAATAATCAGAACTGCTGCTTTGGGTCCCCGGAACGGCACACACCGAGTTCTGAGCTCTGCCTTCTTTTGCTCGTGACTGAGAGCCGTCTCCCCTTCCATCCATTTCCTTCTGCTTTTTCTGGCTGCAGTTCATTAAATCAAAAAAGCGATCCTTGAATAAATGGGAAGTGGTCAAGACAATGGATCAGTGTTTGACCCCAATCTTTTGCTCTCGTGTTCGCAGATCATTAATTATTGGGTTCAGCCAATATTTCTCATTTGGCTAATTGATCTTAATTAGGGTTCTTTGGAATTAGCCGTTTGGAACACACACACTGGCTGCTTGGAGTGCAGGGGAGTATCTTGAGCTCTTAATCCATCAGAGCTGCCTTGCACATGGGTGTATTTCTCCCAATAAACAGGATCCTGTCAGTGAGAACTGGGCTGTGAACACAGTAAGGGCTTAGTTGCTCAGAGATGTGCTAATCCCGCGCTTAAAATCTGCATTTGTTTCTAAGTGGCACGCAAGGTAGACGTAAAGCGCTCCTTCCACTGCTAGAGGAGCTGCCGTACGACAGAGAGCAAAACGGGATCTAATGGGTTGAAGCGAGAGATCCATCCAGTATCATTTGCACACCAGAACCTCCTGATGGAAGGACCAGCTCACTGCAATGCGTGAAAGCGATACAGGTGCATAAAATGCAAGCGTTTGCAATAATTAGGGCAGGAATAGACTAACTGGTGCAGTTCTGAATAACAGCTCCCCTCAGGCCCAGCTAGCATGGGCAGGCATCATGGAAGTTGTAGTCCCAAGCCTTGGCGGGGGGCACCCTAGTCGTTCAGGCTTAACAGTGAATGAAAAAGCATACAAGCATAAGCAACGACACACCATGTTCTCTGTGGAAAACCTATTTTATTTAGAAATCTGAATTTATTTCTTTATGTATATAATGCCATTTGGAGCCTGTGAGAGTGGGAATACAAAGCAGAGGGTCTGTTGTGGGCTGGTCATTCTGTGGCGTAGACTATTCCTCTGCAGTTGTGGAGTGCTCAGTGATGAAGACACAACCCAAGCTGCACAATCATCCAGCGGAACGGCCTCACTTTCCCAGTTATGCCGGGAGCATCTTCCAGTGATGCACCTCCCGGCTCCTGGACAGAGAGACTGAAGCACCACACAAAAGCAGGTGACAAATGATGCGAAAACAATTCCAACATTTTGGTGACCTACGCATTTCTGGTGCTTCAGCAGAAGGACCACCGTTGTGCAGTTGTCAGCCAGGAACACAATGCTGTAAGTATACCCTGCCCCACACAGTCTCCCGGGGACACTGCAAATTGCCCGACATTAAGCAAGATGGGTGCCTAGTTCCTGAATGGTGGGAAAGAGGGTGAATATGAAGCACAGTCTCGTTGCTGCCAGAAAACCTCTTCTAACTTGAAGTGACCATCTTTTTGACTTTTAAAGAAGGTCAAAATAGGTCACCCTGTAATCAAGGGGTACAGAACTTCAGGCCCAGGGTATGAGGTTCCCCAGAGGGCCCGTGCCCTTTCCTTTAGCGCCACTCCCTTCCCCAGGCACTGATCCTTTGTGGGTTACCCCCCACTGCAGGAATTCTCCTGAAGTTTAGATGCTGCCAGTAGGAGCATTCAGTATTGTTTTGGCCCTGCTCGCTACTGGAGTCCAGTCTCCGAGAACTCCTCTGAAATGGCATTTGAAAGGCATTCAACATGCCTGCCCTCAGGGAACCCAGTAGATCCTGCAGCTACACGTGTGTGCTGAGCTGGCCCAGCCCCTGATCCCTAAGGCATGCACTGAAATGTTCTGAGCTGCTCCATCTTTCTGTCTCTGCCATATTGCAAAATGGTGCCCGTTAAGAGCTGGCTCCAGGGCTGCCTTGGGAACACAGACAAACCCTTCACATTCGGAACAAGCGAAGGGAGGTGGGGCATTTGTCCCCTTTCCCAACCCACTGGAAAAGTGGTGGAAGAGAAGCAAGCAGGCGCTTGTTAACTCAAATTACCCTGCTTCTATCGGGCTCCTGGCTTTCAATTGCTCTGAGTGTGCCACACTTAAGCTTTTTATGGAGCACGACCTCCGTGGTCTGTGTTTCTTCCTGGAAAAATGAATCTGGGTTTCCCTGTTAGTTAGAGCAATATGACAGCGGAACCAGCTGCCTGGAGAGGTGGGGGGCTCTCCCACATTAGAGACATTCACAAAGAAACCGGGCAGCTATCTGAGTGGGATGGTGTAAGCTGGTCTCCTGCAACAGCAGGGAGTTGGACTTGATGGCCTCCAAGGTCCCTTCCAACTCTACTATTCTATGATTTCTGCATAGAATAGGCTGCAGTCATGGAACGGCATCACCGATACTGCATAATTCTCCAAAAATACCCCATGTGAAGGTATAACCCAATGCTTTTTTTGAGAGAGAGAGAGAGACAGAGACAGAGAGAGAGAGAGAAGTAGTGATGTACTCTTGCTTGGCTGCGAAACTCAACGGATCCGACTTGAAGCTGAATCGACTGCACTGCCAAAGGGCTCTCTCTTCCCTCCAGGCCTCTGAAGTTCTACTCAGGGAGGCAGGGCTGAACCGGGTGAGCTCTGATGCATGTGTGAGGGCAGCGAGGGCAGCCCCCAAATTTCAGGCAGAGGGCCTTCCGTTAGCAGGGATTTGCCTCCTGGAGAAGGCAGATCTTGGCTCTTGCCTGCTGGCTGGCTCACAGCTGGTTAGCTTCCATGACTGTGGCGGGAGAGGGCCAACAAGCAAGTTCTTCACCCATTCAGGTAAGCAGCCATGAGCCACATGGGAAAGATTACGATGTGGTTGGGAAGCGGGGGTACACCTTGCCTGCCTATCTATACACAGGCTCTCCCTACAGCTGCATCTCCCCGTTTTATACCTCACCCTCCAGGGAAAAGCTTGCTTTAAAATCACAGGTCCCAAATTACAGGAAGCTAAAGTTCACGCACTGACAAGACTAAGTGTTCACACACAGAAACGGGGGCTGAACACTAGTTAGTTTTCCCTCTCTCGCTTTCTTTATCCCAGGTAGACAGCCTTTTCCATCGCATCCTCCAGCTTCATGTACTCAAGGTGGGAAGGGTAGCTGGTGCACTCGAAGCGCTTGTTGCTGCGGATGTACTTGATGAACTCTGGAGCCCCGGGGAAGATTATATTGTCAGCCAGTAGAACGGATCCCTTGCGCAAGAGGCCACATTCCTGGGAAGAGAAAGCGGGGTGAATACGGGATGCAGTCAAGCAGCTCCCGCTGGTGAAAGGCAGGCCCGGTTTTATCGCAGAACATTGCAGAAGCTGCTTGAAAAAGACCACATGTACTAGCAGTAGGCAAAAGATCGATTGCACAGACGTTTGGGACTGGAAGGCCCCGTGAGCATCGCCATGTGGAGAGCTGGACGGCAAACCATCCGGAGACTGGCTTTCTGTCCGGTCCTGCCATGAACAAGCTGGACAGATCTGCCCTCTGCAACCAAGTGGCAACATAAGAACACAAGGAGCTGCCCCGTGCAGTGCAGTACATTAGTTTGCAGACTAAAGTTTGCAAACTTTCCAGAGCACGGGACCTCAGCGGAGGCTGGTCTCCAGCCCCAGCCTTCCCAGTCAGTGCTCAGGGTGAGCAACCGGCTATCCAGCGCCCTGTGGGAATGACTGCTTTGGACCATCTCCAGCAATTCTCGCTATGCTACCTTGCAATGGCTTTCCACGGTCTTAGCAAAGGGCATTCCTAGCTGAGGGCTAACATGCCGGGGTACCTGGGGCTCAAGCTCCACAGACCATGCCTGTGGTCCAGGTCGGGCTCAGCTGCCAGCACCCTGTTTGGAAACTTTAACAGTCTACCCCCCCCCCTTTGCTAGCCCTGCTCCCCGCGATCTACGAAAATGCTATTCAGCTGAACCTCCTACATACCGGGCACGTGTTCCGACATGCCAGAATGCACTTGCAAACAGAGCGCAAATCGCCACTCTGCCTTCGGAGAAAAATCGAAGCTGATGGGACTCATCACAGACATCAGACATCCCTGAGATGGTACCTTCCAGATGTGTGGGGGTTCCAACCCCGGGGGTCCCCTACAAGCTACTTCTAGTGGCCACGTGCTTGGGGATCCCTAAGAGCCCGATCAGCTGGCTTGCGGTAACTGCAAGGCTTGCAGACGTGCGAAGCGAAACGACAGAGTGGGAGCCCCAAGCAGCCGGACATTTCTGAAGAGACCCAAGCTGCTCCAACTTACCTCAAGAAGGATGGTGTCTGGAGCGTATCTCTCTTTCCAGTGGTCCAGAAAGACAAAATCTAACGTGTCCACCTGGTATGTTTCTTTCAGCTGGGGGATAACATCCTGTGAGAAGCCCTGGATGATGGTTACCTGCAAGCAAAATCATTAGTAGCACAGGTGAGAGAGCATCCGCACCGGACATCCCGGGACAACGGCTGGGTGGACCACGGCCCCGCTGTGGCTGCTGCACGTCCCTCTCCTTGGCTGTCTGGGACAGCGCTGCTTCCCTCCCCCCAGGCCGGATAAACTCGACCCGGACCGCCCACAAAGGAAGAGGGGCCACTGCTTTGCCCCAGATTCATCCAAATCTGGAGCTAAACTGCCAAGATGCTATGTTTGCTCATGTTTTCTAAAGCTACAGTCACCCATCACTGAGCAAGTCACCACTTTGGAGTAAAAAGACAGGAAAAACCAGAACCAAACTGCGATGGCAGCACTTGCGTATGACTATATTTCTGGGTGACTCGGCCTTGATGTTTTCTTTCTTGTGTGCAGGCATGTACACACAAGGGCCTTTATTGTTTTCCGGCCCTTTTACTGCCTCTCTCTGTCTCTCTCTCTATGCTGGTCTAAAACCAACAACCTTGCTTCTGGTGAAAAGAGAAAACAAAACCCTCTCCTGCCGGCGACAGGGGAAGTCTGTAACTGGACGAAGAGCCTGGCTTGGCTTAAAACCGCAAATCCAAATACTGTAGCGCAACGGAAATCAAACGTGAAAAGAGAAAAGCTTCAAAGGCTGCTGCTTCTCTGTGCAGCAGAGTCGAAGGCAAACAAAAGTGAAAAGAGCACGAAAGACACCTCTGCTGGTGTCACTCAGGGACCAGCTCGGCAGGAGGGTGGCAAGCCCGGGCGGCGGAGAAACAGGAGGAGGTCACAAAAACAGCATGTGACTGAAGTGCGCACAGACTACCCCCTGCCCTGACCTAGTCGGCCCTGTGGCATCCTCGACCAATTGCCAAGGCCCACTGTGTTGGTGCTGGTCCCTGGGACCACCCACAATCCAGCCTGCTTGGCCTGGACCTCACTGCCACCGGAAGGCCCCGGCGTTCCTTAGAACAATGCTGCAATAGGTTTGTGCTCGCAGCTTTGACTATGCTCCTCTCGGGGGCAACGGAGCCACTTAATCTGAGCCACTCTGACACCTGCCAAAAGTGGTGGAAGGAAAGGTGGTCCTTTTTCTGTTTTCCCCTCCTGCGCCTTTTCTCAACCTCAAGGGAATCTAATTTTCCCCCTGGGAGCCCCTGCTCGTCACCATGGGTTCTGCCCTCATTGAGAGATACCCTCCTGGTAGCCCTGAAGATTTTGGAGGCCTGTTCCATCGAGGCTCAGCACCTTATCGCTCAGTCCTGCAATCTCAATAATTTCTTTTGCAATTGGCACGAACTCAGCGTTATTTTCGACGGTAAGGAGTCGCGCCTTCGGCTTCAGAAGTCGAGCGATCCTTATAGCCGAGTAGCCACAGTACGTTCCCAGCTCCAAAACGATGGATGGGTCAATTTCCTCTACGATCTTATCCAGGATCAAACCTGGGAGGAAAACAGGAGGAGAGGAGAGACAAGAGCAGTGACTTCAGGAAAAAGAAAACTTCTCACACAAATACCATAGCCTACTCATATTCCTCAACTAAACCTTAACTGGATTTCCACTTAGACCATGGAAATCTTATTATTTAACTATTTAAAAGATGTATTTGCCACCCATGGCACCTCTAGGTGGCTAACAATTAAATCAAACAATTAAAAACCATTATAAAATAGAACAACCATACATTAATATTTATTTATGTATACATACATGTATATTGCTGAGGCCTTCCGAGGCAGCTTACAATATATAAGACATTTTAACTAAGTAAAACACATTAAAACCGATTAAGACACAATGAATGAAAGTATCTATAAGAGCAATATAAAAAGGGCCACAGCATTCAGGTTAAGTGTTTTAAAACATCCTTAAAAGGCATGTCTTTTCCTAGTGCCAAAAGGGAAATTTCCAGGCAAATTTCCCTAGGGAGGGAGTGCCAAAGATGGGGAGCAGCAGCGGAAAAGGCCCTCTGCCTAGCTGGCACCCCCTCAGCTCCCTGCAGGGTGGTTCTCGCAGAAGGGCTCCCTGAGCTGATCTAAGGGGTCAGGCAAATATATATGAGTGCAGACGGTCCTTCAGAGAGCCGAGGCCCAAGCCGTTTAGGGCTTTATATGTCAATACATGCGCCTTGAAATATAAATTGAGAGCCAGTGTGGTGTAGTGGTTAAGCGTGTGGGACTGGGACTCAGGCGATCCGGGTTCTAGTCCCCGCTCGGCCATGGAGCCAACTGGGTGACTTTGGGCCAGTCACAGACTCTCAGCCCAACCTACCTCACAGGGTGGTTGTTGTGGGGATAAGATGGAGGAGGAGAATGATGTAAGCTGCCTTGAGCCCTTTGAGGAAAAAGGCAGGATATAAATCGAAAAATAAATAAATAAAATAAATTGCATCATTTAAAACACAAATGGGGGTCTTACTGATTTCCACAGGAAAGATGCAAGGGGGTGTCGCGCCGATCTGGCTGGATCAGGCATCTCATGCAATGTTCTATGCAACCGACATGCTGCACCCTAGAAAGAGGGCAGCTTGATTTCCGGCAACTCCCAAACCAGGTCTCACAGAGGCCACCTTTTAAATTACCAGTCTCGGTAACATCCCTTTAATTATACAAAGCGGGAGGCAAACATCGCCCCCTCTCAGTAATACTCTAGATCAGAGGTGGGGAAACTAGGCAACAGGCTCCAGTTCCCATGGTGCTCTGCAAGCTATCAGATCTGACCCGTGCCAGAGATTCTCTGCTGTGCATCGGTGGGTGGGAAGGACAGGGTGAGACAGCAAAACGCAAGGCGCGCCCACCTGCTTTGGCTCTGATCTTGCCCCGAACAAATTACTGCAAATTACTGCAAGGCAACAAGTGACTACAGGCGTCCCTCGACAGAAAAAGGGTTTCCCCTGCCCTCCACAGCCCTGTGACCCACGACGACACTTCAAATTACAGTGGTATAGAGTGCATTTCCCAAAGGATTCAAAGCCTTTTCCATGGATCCTTTCGATGTTCTTCTCCACAGTTAAAATAGCTCTGTGTTATTATCTCCATCTTTATTTGTCTTTGATTTTCAGCGCCAGGCCAAGACCTTTTTATTTAAACAATATTTTAATTGTTACTTGGTTGTTTTTATTTATTGGTTTTTAAATTATGGCCGAGATACTCCAAATTCTTAATGTTATTCTATTCTATGTTTGTTTATTCTCTTTGTAAGCCGCCCCGAGGCTTCTGCAATGGGTGTGGCATAAAAATGTCATAAATAAATAAATAAATAAATAAATAAATAAATAAATAAATAAATATCTTGCGGGTGTCAGCAAAAAGCTGAAAAAACAGAACTTGCACAAGCCCAAACACAAAACTTTGTGGGGCTTGCATTTCAGGACCGAACAGACCTGTCTTGAAATCGGTGTCTAGGCAGGGGTGGCATCCCAATCCAGGCTTTGGGGAGTCCCAATCCACTCTTCTGGGGTTCTCCAAATGATCACACCCCTTTCTCCAACCCCCAGCTTCTGGTTGTTTCCTGATTTTTGTGCAGTGGTTCCCTGTCGCTGTGCCTCTCCTGAGGACCGGGCCGATGCTGGCTATTTTCTTAGACGCAGCTTAGGGGAGAGGGGGGTTTAAACGGCAGGTCTGGGGCTGGGGGAAGGGCAGCCAATTCTTCTCTGCCGAGTGTCTTCCCTTTGCTGCCGTGGCTGCTGAAAGCCCAGCTGGACAACAAAAGCAGGCATAATACCGATAAGCGATCTTGATCTTCCTCGTCCAGCTAGCTAAGAGCAGCAAGTGCGCAGAGGGAAAATTAACGCCTCTTCCAGCACTTCTGCTTCCATCTAAATTGGCCGCTCTCCCTCTGGCACCAGTGAAATTCCCCCCCTGGTGCCGGGAGTGGATGAACAGAGGGGCTGCTCAGTAAGAGGAAAGCAAGGACGGGGAAGTTGTGGCACAAGCAGCCACACGCCCGTGCTCAGCGTTCCCCATCCAACCAGCGCCTGGCATGCTTGCAGGACAATACTGTAAAAGCCAAGTCCAGCTGCAGGAATGCCCCGAGTGCAAGCGCTCATCCTGCCCCAGGGAGGGTCCGGCGAGCGCAAGTTACCTTTCTCGTCGCCCACGTTCATGGCCCACTCATTCTTGGAGCAGTATTTATCGATACAGTCCAGAACACTCTCGGGGTCCCCTCGGATGGCGTTGTAGGACACAGAGTTCAGGATCCGCTGCTCCTTGCTTTGGTCCATGACGAAGTTGGTGATCTTCTCGAGGACGAGCTCGTTCCAGAAGATGTTGGCGTGCGCGTTGTTCCTGACCAGCATGAACAGGGCCACTATGAAAAGAACCGAGCCAACACCCGCGGACACAAGGATGGTCAGGATCCAGTTTTCCAGCATCTGTAATGACAGAGAGACGCAAGCGCAAGCTGTCAGTTAAGGTGGAACCTGCTGGTGGGGGGGGGGAGCACTCCGGGGTCCCCACTGGAGGAAGAATGGGCCTGACCAAGGCACCTAACGAGGAGCTTCTACTATTGAGGATGCTGATATTTAAATCTCACCTTTTCTCCTCTAGGAACCTCAGGCAGCTTGCCACAACAACCCTGTGAGGTAGGTTCACCTCAGAACCAGTGACGGCTCCCAGGCTGTTTCATGGCTCAGGATGGGCAAGACTCAGGAACCAGGTACCCTTTCAGGTTTTGGAGCACAGCTTTTGTCCACAGCGTGGCCAAGGGGCAGGGATGATAGGAACAGTGGTCCAGGACATCTAGAAGGAAGCTGGCAGGGAATGTATTGGGCAGACGCCACTGCATCGAAGGGCGATGCGCCAGGAGCACTCAGCCACATGCATGTTGCGACCAGGGCTTCACAATACCTGCCACCAGCGACATCATGGGCTCTTCCCAGCAGCTTTGGGTATTGGGCAGTATAGAAATGCCGTAAACAAAATGAACCAGCACCACAGCTTTACGCCAGTTTCTTAGTGCCTGGCCCAAGGTGGTGTTTCACGGCGCTAAAGAAATTCTCCGTGCCACGTGGACAAAGAATAACAGGAACCCAAAACCATGGGCACATGGACTGCAGCTGCTACAAGCTCAGCAATACGTTCCCACCAAGACAGCTTAGAGAAGTGACATCATCACCATCATCATCATCATCCTCATCATCCTCATCATCATCATCTTGTCTATACTGCCCCACAGCTAAAGCTCTCAGTGCCCCCTGCACAGCCATCGCTGGGCTCTCCCCACACACACACCCATCCCCCACGCACGGCAAATCGTGACTTCTCTCTTCCCTGCCTCGGTTTCCCCATGGTCGGGACGAAGCCAATACTATACACAGGGTTGCTTTCCCCCTTGCTGCAGCTGCGTTTGTCCTAGACGCAGGCTCTGGGGGAAAGCACCTGCTTTGCAGGAGGGGCACTCGGCGTCTCCCAGCTTTCCGGTTGATTCCGGAGAGCCACCCACATCCACACTAACCACCCATCTTTGCTGGGACGGCAGGACCCGGCAAGCTGGAAGCGCCAGAAGTCCTCCAGTGCAGACCACACGCCATCCGCCGTGCCTGAAACTGTCCTATGAGCGGGACGAGGACGCTTCGTTCTGAGTGGGGACACACGGGGCTTCCTGGGCGTTCTCTGCTCTGCTTCGGCACGTCCCGTGCGGGGTGCTTGCGCAGGAGTCCCTCGCGGAGGTTCCACCTTAAAGAGCAGCAGCTGGTCAGAGTGGAAGACTTGGCATAAATATGTCAAGCTTTTTCATAGCCTCCGACGGCCACTGGATGGCTCTTTCTGAAAGCGGATTGTTCAAAGAGGAGTTTCTCTCTCCTGTCCTCAATGGGAAAGCCCCCAGACTTTGAAGAAATCTCCCCACCACCACCAAGCTGCCTTCCCCAACCCAGTGACAGCAGGATATTTTGGACAAGCTGGGGACGATGGGCTTTGCAATCCAAAACATTCTGAAGATACCTCATGGGGGAAGGCTGAGCTAACGGGAGGAGAGGATCGGGATCGGTCTACACGGGGAAAGACAGGAGGAGCAGAGGAAGAGCAGAGGATGGACAAAGCCTGGCTGAATGCTGGAAACATTTCCACGCACAGGTGCAAGGCAGCACAACTGCTGCGCGCCAGGTCTGGGCTCGCCCGCTTGCTCCGACGCACGCTCGGTGCTCAATGGCTAGCCTGAAGCGCCTGATCCTGCCTAATCTGGGAAGCTCAGCAGGGCCAGGCCTGGCTGAAATCGGGATGGGAGACTTAACATTGTAAGTGGCCCAGAGAGCTTTGGCTACAGGCGAACAGAAACGTAGATGATGATGATGATGATGCAGATATTACCAAAGTGCCTCAAACACAGCCCCCGAACGCCAGAAGGGGAAAGGGCAGGGTCCCTGCTTTGCCCTTAAAAATCTTTACTTGCTACCCAGCACAGCAAGTGTGTGTGTGAGTTAACACATCAATATCCAGTAATCACTGGCATGCCAGAAGTCGCATGTTCAGTTATGGGCATTTCGAGAAAAACAGTCAGAGGAACTTGGAAAGACTCCTGGAGAAGCTTGGAAGGACCCCTCGCTGCGGAGTCACCTGCAGGTAAGATGGTCCAGTGGTCCACCTCAGCATAAGCTGCAGCACAAACCCAAATACAGCTGCCCTGGCATTCCCCATCACTCTGAAAATTAGGGGGCACAGCCTGCGGTACCATTCAGAAGTCACCAGATTCTCTCTGCCACACAACCACCGAAGCCTGCGAGAGAAACAGCAGTGACCTACAAAGCTTCTATTTTTGGTGTCAAAGCCATCTGTCCTTTACTTCTGACACACCAACTTGAACCTGCTGAAAACCCAAATAATATTAGTTATGATGTAGCAGCAACGGATGGGGAAGAGATGTTGCTGAAAGGGGGTTTGGTAAAAACAAGCAACGCACAAGCAACTTGGTTTCTTTGCTCTTTGTTAATGGATGCTGCTCAACATCAAGAGTTCTTTTCCCGTGGGCTCTGCGTTATAGAAATCACACACACACACACGCACGTGTGCGCACAAACAACTATGGAGACAGAAAGGAGAGATCAATCTTGCCCACAATATAGAAAAGCCAGAGTCCATTAAACTCAAATCACAGTTCCCACTCTGAAATTTCACATCAGAGCTGCCAGGACAGCAGTAAAAATCACCCATTTATTTCTGCTTTTCCTGCAGCTGAAAGTGGGTTTTAAGAAATGTTATTCCACAAGCCAGAAAGCAGAGAGAGAAAAACGTGGTGTGGTTCAGAAGCTGCTGGCTGTCTTCCTGTTTTGCAAGAAAGCCTGGGAGACGGGGAGAATTGGTCTTTTACTCCAACTTGACTCGGAGACAAGTTCCTGTACCTGGACGAAGAGTATCTGGGTAGGAGATATCTAGGGGTTGTTACAGTAGGCCACATCCTAGCAATGGGCAGGGTTTTGCAAAGAGCTGCAGTGAGAAGGCTGGGCCTTTCGCTAATTTTTAATCCAAGCCAAAGTCCTGTGCATGTTTTAGCTATTAAAGATGGCATTCACTGTGCCTCCTTGCGCTTGCCTCCTCAGAAGGAAGTCCCAGTGAATTCAGCGAGATTTACTCCCAGGTACAGATGCACAGAATTATAATTTGACCCTCTCTGAATTCAAGTATTCGTGCCCCATCTTTTCGAGACAGCGATGCTGTCCGGGTGGGACTACAGAGCAGCTGTCTGGGTCCCCGCTCAGCAGAACGAGCCGGAGGGCTCCAAATGCAGCAGAGAATGCTAATATGCCTGTGTGCTGTGCATGTTAATGTGAATTGCCAGAAATTGTACCTCGTGCAAAAGCATGAAAACTCATCTGCGAATTTGCAGAATCCATAGGGCTAAGAAAAACCAGTCTGCTGCAGAATCCATGGGTCTGATTCACAGTAACGCCCATCGATTTGAAGATCTGCAGATTTTCCTGGCATCCTTAATACAGAAGGCCCCAAATTCAGGCCCCAACATCTCCAGACAGACCTACAGAAACGGGGGCCAACCAAAGCAAGCCGTTCTGAGGCTGGATAGAAAAACAGAGCTTCAATACACGTGGCAACTTTCTATGCAGTGCTGGACAGTTGCCGATAAGGGCGGATCTGGTTGAAGCAGTCCTGGAAGGCCCACTTCGCACGTGGAAGGTTCCAAGTTCAACACCTGCCATCCCGGAATGCTGGAGAGCCCTGCTAAGCAGCAGAGATGAACCTTCCCCAACTTGGTGCCCTCCAGATGCGTTGCACCGCAATGTGGCCACGACGCACCCCACACATCTGGCACAGAGCAGCAAGCGCCAGACCTGGAAAAAGGCAGCTGTGCGTCTTCCGAGGGCCAACAAGCAGGCGCAGGGCGCTGTGCACACCTGCGACCCCATTTAAGCCGGGCTGGCAGCTGCCACAGGTGCTGTCCGAGCATCCGCGGTGCCGAAGAGCTTGTGGGAGAAGCAAGGGGCGGCGATTCCCCACCTCTTCCCTTTCATGCCTCATATCATAATGCAAAGCCCACTTTGAATTCGGAAAGTGATTACCGTCGCCATGGAGACGTGCGCCACTCACGGTGCGGCCACTGTTTGTTCACCCATCTACTTATCTCAGCTGTGTGCTCAGATAATTCGGTTCGAAGTCTTCTAGATGGCTTCATTTCCTGCCCCCTCCACATGACGGCAAAGGGGGAACCCTTCTCTGTTGCCTTGAAACACTGGATGTTTGAGCCTCCCTCCCTCCCTCCCTCCCTCCCTCTGTGTGTGTGTGTGTGTGTGTGTGTGTGTGTGTGTGTAGGGGGAGATCTGCCTTAGAATAATGCACCAAGAACCACAGGTATGGAGTGCTGCTTAGCAAGGTGATGGGACCTGAAACGATCCAGAGTTCAGCCCCACAGCAAGGAAGAGATTGCAAAGGCCTTGAAGTCTGCAAGTATGTGCTGAGAAGACCCAGCCTCCAAAGGACAACCCTGGCTGTTAGAAGGGATGCACTGAAAAAGAGGAGGCAGCTTTAGGTTCCCCCAAACACCCCCAGTTGGAAAGATTCAGGGGGCAGCAAGAGGGGAAGGGCATGCGGGCAAAAAGCCAACGAATGCAAGGGAATGAGATCCTTGCGGTCTCTGTTCCTTTCTTTCAGCACGGAGAGCAGGCTGGTGGGGCAGATGGTGAAGGTGGGAGGACACGAGGAAAGAGACTTCCAGGCAAAGCAGGGACTTCAAGGGTTGTCCGTTCCGGGTCTGGTTTAAAGGTGTGAAAGGCAAGCGAGCAAGAAGACGTGGACCTCAGCATCGTCCCATCTTGAGCCGGCACCGGTAGATCATGCCGTCTCCTCTTCCTTCCTGCTGATTGGTGCCGCCACAGAGCCTGGACCAGGCTAGGCTAGATGACTTTTGCAAAGCTGGCAAGTGCGA